CTTTTCCTCCAGTTTCCAATTAGATATTCTTCATTTCTGTCTAAGAACTCATCAGAAAGGCCTTTACTGTAGGTATTTCCCCCAATATTCTGGTCATGATTGTTTAAATAATCTATAAGAAGAGGTAGGCTACTCTCCTCTTCTGAACCTTCACCAAAATTGCCCTTAAACGCTGGAAATGTAGGCTTTTTTTCTGGCATGTACCCTAAAATTTTTCCTGCCTCTATCCATTACCTAATTCCAAAGCTGCTTTCACATTTTTAGGTATTTGATATAGCAACACCCTATTTCTCAGTGTCAATTTCTGTATTAGTTCATTTGTGCTGCTGTAATAAAATACTTGAGACGGTAATTTGTGAACAACAGAAATATATTTCTCACAATTCCAGAAGAAAGGGAATTCACGATCAAGGGCTCACAGATTTGGTATCTGGTGAGAGCCTTCTCTCTCACCAAGATGAGGCATTGTTGCTGTGTCTTCACACGGCAGAAGGCATAAGAGCAAAAAGAGGACTAGCTAGTTCCCTCCAACACTTTTATAAGATTTCTAACCCCATTCTTGAGAGCTCCAGATTTAATCACCTCCTAAAGCCCACCTCTAAATAATGTTGCATTGTGAATTTAAGTTTCAACATGAATTTTGGAGGAGACACAGACATTCAAACCATAGCAATTATACACTGATTGCTGTGTTGCAAATCTTACATCTTCCTCCAACATTGCACAATATATTTTATTCATAGTCTCACTTTACTGTTTTTTGCTAATAGCAGCATTATTCCTAATGTTACTTTGACACATTTCTAATTTGAGGACATTTAACAACTTTTACACTGCTCCCTTCCTGTCACCTCATCAATAGCTTTGTACAAATGATTGATTCATTTAAGGACTTGTTTTAAGAATGGTTTGGTGTCTTAGTCCATTTTGTGCTGCCGTAAGATAATACCTAAAACTGGGTAATTTATAAGAAATGGAAATGTATTGGCTCATATTGGTTTTGGATGCTGGGAGTCCAAGATCAAGGTGCTGGCAACTGGTGAGGGTCTTTCTGCTATCTCATAACATGGTAGAAGGGCAAAGAGAGAGAGGAAGCACACATGAGACAGAGAGAGAGAGAGAGAGAGAGCATGTGAGGGAGCCCATTCCCAGGAGAGAGAGAGAGAGAGAGAGAGAGAGCATGTGAGGGAGCCCATTCCCAGGAGAGAGAGAGAGAGAGAGAGAGAGAGAGCATGTGAGGGAGCCCATTCCCAGGATACCAACATTAGTTCATTCATGTTGGTGGAGCCCTCCTGACCTAAACACCTCTTAATGGTCTCACCTCTTAGTATGGTACAATGGTAATCAATTGTTTTTTTTCCTCTGATAGCATTTTATTGGATATGCTTGAATTATGCACATTCATAGCAATATATCATAATGAAGTCAGTGTATTCCTTTTTGGGGGGAAACTTCTTAATG